ATATATATATATATATATATATCATAACAATTTGGAAAAAACAAAGGAAAGTCAATTCACTTTCCCATATCCACAAGCTCCAACACATCTTCCATTGGCCAACTCTCTAACCTTCTGTCAGGCAAGACTAAATCATGCTGTTGGTATTAGTATTAGTATTAGTATTGTTAATTTTAACACAAATGATCTCATTCACATCCAAAACCACAAGCATTCTGAAAGAAAAATATAAAAATAAACAGAAGATGGAAAAGAAGAGAGAAATTAAGAAAATACATGTACATCTATAACTAAGAGCCAGCTGGAGAGCCAGCATTTGATTTTTTGGGTTATGGCTTTGGAGACTAGGCTCGATTTCCAGTTCAGCCATGGAAACCCACTGAATGACCTTGGGTGAATCACACTCTCTCAGCCTCAGGGGAATGTAATGGCAAATATGCTCTGAACAAATCTTGCCAAGAAAACCCATTGATAGTTTGGAATAAGTCAAAAACAACTTGAAGTCACACAACAATATAACTAAGGCTGCATCTGCACTGAAGAAATAATCCAGTTTGGCACCACTTTAACTGCCATGGCTGAATGCTATGGAATTCTAGGTTTTGTAGTTTTGTGAGATATTTAGCCTTCTCTGCCAGAGAGCTATGGTGCTACAACAAACCATAAGTCCCAGAATTACATAGCAATTGAACCATGGCAGTGGAAGCAGTGTCAAACTGGATTATTTTTACAGTGCAGATGCATCCTACATCAAGTTTTGAGCTGACACCTAACTGGCCCTTTAGCCAAACTCTACAAGGGCCAGTTCTCCTGTAATAAGAGGAGAGCTCCTTCAGTTCCCAGATTGCTATCAGAGCCATGAATCAGTCACTCAAAGGATGAGCCATTGAACCCAAGAGCTGCCAGCAAAGAGCAAACTATTTATGTCTCAGATTCAGTTCCTATTTCAGGGTTCTTTGGGGGGCTGGGGGGGGGGGGAGAATTTTTTTTGAAAAGAACATAATCAATGTAATAATTTAAAATATGCACAATGCACAAAAACATAACATAACCAAAAAAGGGCCACCAAAGTCATGCGTTTGCTGCAGTAATTGAGAAAGCTGAAAAAACAATTACAATATGGCATACTATATTTTGCACACAAAGGGGGCTAAAGCTGAAACATGTTCCTTTTTGCTTGTTTTCATTTCTATAATGGCTCACCCTATCATATTTTTGTTTTAAGGTTGTGGCAATGTAATCTGAGTGCAATTTGGATGAGCATTTTTTACGCGTGATATTACAATTTTAATGGTTAGATTTTTATTACTATTATTTTCATTATTATTAAATTAGTCTTTTCCTGTTTGTGTTTCATTTTATTCTCTGCGTCCTAATCTTGCACGGTTATTTGATTCCCCCCCCCCCCCCCCCCCCCCGCATTAGGAATTA